GGATGGGCTATCAAGAACACGAAGAATACAAAGGGCTAAGGGCCAAGAACAGTGGTGAAACAGTGCAAAGTGTTCATGGCATGTGAAAAATCATGAAATAAGACGCATTCAGGTGAATGATTCACAAATAATGCCTAAGAAGAACAGTAATAGCAAGAAACTTCAGAAACAATCAAGAATTAGAAAAACTCGGCTTGTTAGCAGCTCAACCGCAATGTAAGTTGCATGCATATGCCAGCTCAAGCACCAATTTTGGTCTGTTCAAATCTTACAACACTTTTTTGTTTTCTAAATTCTTTGGACAACATAGTGTGGAATGGGCTTTGTGTCCCATGGTTTCTTAAAAAACACCTATTGCTATAGCATTCAAATGAAAACTTTGTTTAGATCATGGATTTAAGAAAAAATCTGTGAAGGGAAAGGTTTTCCATTCACTTTTCTTTTCTCTTCACAAATCATTCCTCAAACGTATGATCTAAACATAGCCTGAGAGTTTTCATTTAGTATCCTTTTTGTCTCTCAACCAAAGTTTTGAATTGGAAAAAAGTTGAGAAAGCTTTTGATTTTTCATTCAAAAATTACAGCCACAGTGCATCAACAATAATAATACAATAAAAGTCAGAATTTTGTTGTGAACTTCCTCTTCTTTCTTTCCATTTGTTGTGACCATTCAGAATGTCGAGGTAATAGAACCTAGGGGGCAGTTGTGGGGATATATTTTTTGGATACCAACATGTGGCATGGCGACGCCGACGTGTCAGCTGAAGTGCCACGTGTCGTGGTAGTTACGCCGAGGTGATCTCGGAGTTACCGAGGTTATCTCCGAAGATATCGGAATCCGAGATAAGCAGATAAGGGACAAGAGTCCTAGGACAACGAGGAGACTTAGCCAAGATAAGGATAAAACTCTTAGGGAGTTTATCTTTATCTCTTGAAGAATCCAAAGTCAGTATTGAATTGGAGTCCATAGAAGTTAGGCTTCTAGTGGGACTAGGATTGAGTAAACTATAAAAGAGAGGCATCCCCATGGGTCTAAGGTACGCAATTTTATACTCAAACTTGTGAGTTTAGCATTTGATTATCTTTGAGAGATATATTGACTTGATCGTCGGAGTGCCCCCGGGTGGAAGAGCCACCGCCGGAGCCCTTTTCTTTCTGTTACAGGTTTACTAAAGCCATCTATTCTGCCGGTGCTCTCCAGCTGATTACTAGGTGGGCAGTGTGGTAAGAAAATTACCCACGCACTTTTAATTATATAAAATTTCAAGGTGAAGATATATTAAACAAACGCAATGGATTGTACTTTTAATTATACAAAATTTTCTTTAGATTCTTAATATTAACTCCAGTATCAATTTAATAATGATTTTTTTCTCGTTACTAAAATTGTAGTTATATTTAACTGCTCCTTATGTCTCTGTCTAATTCATTCCCTTCATACACATATATATATAGCAGCAGTAGTGGCCTTTCTTTTTTTCTTTGGATAAATTATGTAAATGGTCTTTGTAGTTTACATGATGTGTTAATTTAATCCATATTGTTTCAATTTACTCAATTTTGACCCTTAATTTAACGGATTGCGTCATTTTAGTCTAATAAATAATGGTGGTTAAGTTTCGTGGATAAAAAGTTTACACAATGTGCAATTTGATCTATGTTGTTTTAATTTGTTCGATTTTGACAGGGACCAAATTGACAAATTGTGTAAATTACAAAGACAAAATTGATACATAGTTAGTTTTTTCGTCCACCAAACTAAACAATCGCTATTTATTGAACTAAAATGACATAATTCATTAAATTAAGGGACCAAATTAAATAAATTAAAATAATAAAAACTAAATTGACATATAATATAAATTAAAAGGACTATTTATATAATTTAACTTTTTTGTTTTTGACAGATAAAGTCTATTAAAAAATAACCGGGGGGTGTATCCATTTACCATTGTACAGCAAAACAATTACGTCCCTCTAAAGTGTCGGCAAAATTCAGAATTGATTGGCTCCACAATTCCCCGAAACCAGCAATACTAGGTGTACAAACGTACACCAAAAATAATTTAGATCACTAAAAGAGTATTAATTTAGTATTTTTCTTTTTGTATTTTGTCTTTTTTCTTTTTTTTCTTTATTTTTTTATTTTACCAAACATGTTTGTAGTTCATATTTTTTAAAAAATAAACAAAAAATAAACAAAAATCAGTTTATAAAATTTTTGTAAATATAAACTAAAAACGTAAACGTTACCAAACACACCAAAGAGTATTAATTTAATATTTTTCTTCTTGTATTTTGTCTTTTTTCTTTCTTTTCTTTATTTTTTTATTTTTTTAATTACATGCCAGCTCAATAAAACTATATTTAGGATTAGTTTGAAGTGTATTAAAAAAATATATTTTTCATCTTTTTATAAAAAAAAATAAAAAACCGACATAATAAAAAAAATAAAAAAACAAAAAGATAAATTACATAAGTTATGCAAACCTAACCTTACAGCGGTTCTACTGGTGGTATCAATCACCACTGAAACGTACACTTGCCCCACATTAGTCACATCAACTTTACTCACTAATTTAAAGCGAGGTTGTACCACCCAGCAAAGGTTGTGCATTGCACTTGCACCACACAAGCCGCGTCAACTTAAATATCTGCTGCCTACATAGCACTACTATTAATAAAGAGAAATATTAGAGATCATGAAAATTTTGTCATGAAAAGGATCATGAAAAATTTATGATCTCTAAATTACCTTGATTAGTGTATGGTGTTTTATTGTAAGTGTAATCTAAAGGTCACAAATCTTTCATGACTATTTTCATGAAAGACTTTTCATGATACCTAGCATTACCGATTAACAAAACGTGATTCATTCCTGCAACAAAACAAAGTGGGTGGATAAGAGTATTTATAACGGTGATTTTTTTTTTTTTGATTAAATTTGAGTATAAAATGATTTATTTTATTAAATCTGATATTATTAGTTTTAATGGGGGCTTTCATCAAATTTACGTTAGGATAACTGGTTGGTCGACCGGTAAGGGTAAATATATATATATATATATATTTTGAATTGTTTAAACTTTTTTTTTGAACTGTTTGAACCTTTTAGTGGTTGATCGGCTGGTCGACGGGTAAGGCAAATTTTTTTTTTTTTAATTGTTTGAACTTATAAATTTTGAACTGTTTGAACCTTTTAATGGTCGACCGGTTGGTCAACCGGCTGGTTGACCGGTTGGTCTCCCCCAACGGTAACAAACAGTGATTTGCTGAAATCAGTATTCTGTCCTCATTTGATGAATTGTTTGGTGAATTCTCAATTTGATATCGATTTGGTGCAACCGTTGGAGCACCAAATAGTAACTTTTTCACCAAAATTTAAATTTGATGTCAGATTTGGTGAAGCATTGGAGATGGTCTAACGTATTTGATAAAATGAATCTTTGGTTTATGGTTATTCAGGTAAGTATTTGTTCTCAAGAGGGAAAAGAAGACGAACAAGAAGAGTTCTGTTAGTTATTTTAAACGGAATTTAAAACTCATTTCAAAGAATGAATTGAAACTCATTTTAAAATGTAGGGTTTAAATTAATCAAATTAAAAATTTAGGGTTTACTTTTTATTGAGGTTAAATTCTAGGGTTTTTTTTTAAAAAAAATAATGTTTTCAATTATTTATCATTATCACTCAGAGATAGGAGTGATAATCGAGCCAAATAGTTAATTGTTCAAGTTTGGTTTGATAATTTTGATGAGTTTCAAAATTTGTTCAAAATTTAATTCGTTAAACTTTTGAGCTGAACTCCAATGAGTTTTTGTTGAGCCGTATTCAAGTAATTTGGTATTTTTATATAGTTTTAGATTTAGCGAATCGAGCTGAACGAGCAATTTTGAAAATTTTAATGAGTTTTGAAATGTATTTAAACTTAACTTATTTACCTAGCAAATTGAGCTCAAATGAACTTTTAATGAGCCGAACATGAGTTGAACTTAAGCTGTTTAGTTCATTTATCACCCCTACTCAACAGGACAAGTTAACCAAAATGGATTGAGCATTGGCATTGACATCATACCGAGAATGAGATAGAGTCTTTCTAGCTCACTTTAGCTCAATTTGTTTAGGACGAATGAAAGAGAAAAAAAAAAAATTTAACTTTTATTATTTTGTTTAGCTTGAGAATGGTTGAGTGTAATTTTTTTTTTTTGTACAACCTATATTAACATTGTAATTAATTTTTAATTTTTTTGTTAAAAAACACAAGAAAATTTGAATGTTTGAGTTATTTATAACTAAAATTTAAAATTTTTATATCTTTTTTCTTACAAATTTTCATCTTAATAAAATGCTTGCAAGAAAATATATTTTCTTTTCTATTTCTTTTCTTTCACTTTCGTTTTCTATCAAATTTTTTTTTGGGCATCATAAGTCCTATCTTGATAATTTGAACTGCATATTTTTTAAACCACAACTAGTAAATTATACATGAAAAAATCTTGATTTGATTACCATAACCACATTAGTTTATAACATTTATTTAAAAAAAATGAATGACAAATATCATTTCAAATCTAAGACATATATTTTTTTAGAGATAAATACGATAAATAAAACGTGATTATGGTTATCGAATCAATATGATTTTTCTCATGAATAATTTACATATTGTGGTCTTAAAAAATGAATTGTTCAAAGAAAAATATTTGAGACCCACAAAAAAACACTCACAATTTGGCCTGTAATGAAATAGTATGATAGGTGTCAACTTTTGATTAGTTACATAATCAATAATATAAGACCTACTTTTTTTACTACATCTTTATGAGTGAATTTGTGAATCTAAAATGTAAGTTTTTTTTTGATCGGCAAAGAAAATTTTATTGATGAAGCACGTACAGGGTACAATGGGAAACATCAATAAAGAGGAGGAAGAAGCTAGAGGAAATTCAAACCTCCAAGTTGGTGAGAAACCAACAAAAGAGAAAGCAAAAACAAAAAACACAGCATCAATCCAAATTCTGCTAAGAGCATAAACAAAAAAACCTGCTAAGAACAGGCCACTGAAAACAAAAACCACTGAAATCAAGCACTCCAATGCACATCCAACATACTGCAGATTACCACTACACAGCACACCCGAAGCAGCCAAGATTTGGACGAGGCAGATTAACACTGCACTGATAATTCGAAGACACTGCTACCAGAACTTCAACCGAAGCAGAACAGTAGACAGACAATGCAGATACCAAGCCACAAACAGCCCATAGCAGCCACAAACAAAATTTGAACTTAGCAGCCACAAACAGCCCATAGCAGCATAACACCTATCATCCCACTGCACCAATTACATTTCATCCACTCTGCAGCAGCCACATAAAACCAATCTGCTGGTGCATACCCACTGCGTAAGGCAGTCCAGCAAAATAAGCTTAATATTAAGCTTAATCTTCAGTAGTCCACAGCAGCCACCGAAATCCAAAATAAGCAAAATAAGCTTAATCTAAAATGTAAGTTTTTAACATTACTTTTGTTTAAATTATTGAGATAATACTCATACTAGACCTCACAGACCCAAATAGGCGGTTCTTATAAAAAATGTAGAGCTTAAATTAATAAAATTAAAACTTAAAGGTTTAAAGTTTAGTATTTAGAATGTGTGATAATAAAAATAAATAAATAAAAAATCCACAGTTAAAGTCGTGAGGCATGGCTCACGTGTAATGAGAAAATACCTTTCTCAATTCACATATATAATCTCCATTCTTGTAGTGTTTATAGCAAAGCAAAATATAGAGACAAGCATGGAGATGAAGGTTGAGATAGTAGCTAGAGAAATCATCAAGCCATCTTCTCCCACTCCCAATCAATTTAGAATTTACAAGCTCTGTTCTAGGGATCAATACACGTGTAATGAGAAAATACCTTTCTCAGTTCACATATATAATCTCCATACTTGTAGTGTTTATAGCAAAGCAAAATATAGAGACAAGCATGGAGATGAAGGTTGAGATAGTAGCTAGAGAAATCATCAAGCCATCTTCTCCCACTCCCAATCAATTTAGAATTTACAAGCTCTGTTCTAGGGATCAATACTCTCCCCATCATTACATCCCAGTTGTTTTCTTCTATGCCAACCCTACTCGTGATGTGATTCACGAAGAGTTGGTTAGCATAAGATCCCAACGCTTAAGGGAAACTCTCTCTGAAACCCTCACTCGCTTCTACCCACTTGCCGGAAGACTGAGAGACAATCTCTTTATCGATTGTAACGACGAGGGTGTTGATTATTTGGAAGCTCGAGTCACCCACTGTCGTCTCTCAGACATTCTTGAACAACCCAAAGCCGAAGAAATGTACCGTTTATTTGAACCCGTCCCCGAAGACTTTAACAAGAACCCTCTGTTATTCGTTCAACTTAACTTCTTTCCATGCGGCGGAATGGCGCTTTGTGTGCGTATGTCTCACAAGATCGCCGATGGAGTCGCGTATGCCGCCTTCGTTAAGGCCTGGTCAGACATCGCCCTCGGGTCGTCTGAGACTATTGTCCCAGATTTCATTGCTGCCTCGTCTCGCTTCCCACCGAGAGACGACTGCCCGGTGTTGTCAATGACGTTCGTGCAGATGACCGAGAAGATTGTCACAAAAAGGTTTGTGATCGACGCGTCGAAAGTTGCTACCCTCAAGGCCAAAGCGACCAGCACGGGCGTGCAGCAACCAACCCGCGTCGAGGCTGTCACTGCGGCCCTCTTAAAATGCGCAGTGACTGCCTCCCGATCACATGTCCTTGAACTTGAAACTAACGTTTCAAGTCCAAAGGCATATGCGTTGACAGGGGCTGTCAACATACGCACAAGGCTTGAGCCACCCTTACCAAAATATTCTTTTGGAAATATAACTGGATTGTTGTGGGCAATGATCGAAGATGGTGGGGCAGAAACAGACTTGCCAGGCTTGGTTTGTCAGCTGAGGAAAGGGGTTCAACAGTCCACTGATAACAATTTCACCGCTGAAAAGACCAAACTGTTGAGACTCAAGGGAGAGGCTGTGAAGGTGTATCGCCATAGCAGTTGGTGTAGGTTTGGTCTATACGAACTTGATTTCGGGTGGGGGACGCCAACATATACGACTGTTGTTTTATTTGGTGCCCCAATTGGAATTGCATTGTTGGACACAAGCGATGGTGACGGAATAGAAGTGTGGATGACTTTGTTGAAAGAAGACATGGCCGTGTTTGAAAGTGATCAGGAGTTGCTAGCTTTTGCCTCGCCAAACCCAAGTGCACTCGAAAATTGATCAATTAATATTAATAATAATGATGTTATGATGATCAAAGTTATTAAGAATAAATTCTTGTAAGTCGTTGGATCATGCATATGTGCTGCACCTTTTGGTGTTGCAAGTGTCTGATTCCTTTCTTCGAAGACTCCAATGTTGTTTGGTATTTGCTTGGTTACTAAAGTTGGTGTAGGTGGGAGATTAGTCCTTCGTGGATGACTGTAAGACATTAATGTTACATTTATTTTCTCTTGTGGTTCAATGGTCTATATATTTTTTACATATTTTATTTTATTTGAACTTCATAATTACATAAAGTTCAGTAATTAAAATTTAAAATTTGAGATAATTATTCTTCTAAGATAATAAGCAAACCTTGATGGACAAGAATTATTTTGATAGAGCTTATATGGCCATCTTCTCTCATCTATATAAGGATGTGTGACTCTCATTTCATAATTATAGTATTTTTTCATCACTCAAAATTTTATAGTCATCCTAATTAAGAGAGACAAATAGAAGAATGTGAGTCAAGAATTTAAGGTTCAACTATTAGGGATATGTTCTCAACTTCTCTAATTCAATGGCTGAGAAATGTATGTTCGTTTTATTCTTGAGATGTATTGAATTCAAAATCTTGTTCCGCATTATTATTATGGTTCATGTATATTAATTGTTTACATGTGGTATTAGAGCCTTAGTTTTGTGAATCAATCCACATTGGAATAATAATATATGTATGAATATGTTATTACTAGTGGTTACTCGTGCTATGCATGAGACTTTATAAATTAAAAAAAAAAATCATTATAATTTTTTTGAAGTAATTTAATATTTTGTCTTGTGGTATATATGAAATTTATAAATTAACTTTTATGTTTATAACTTTTTAAACTATTAGTTTAAAAAAATTTTAAAAAATATATTTATAAATTTGTTTAGTGGAATTTTGATAATTTGTATTAAAAAAAATTTAAAACTGATTAATTGAGATTAAATGAGTTATGACATAACCCTTCTTGTTATGAAAATATACAAATTTAAAAGTTATAATTCATACAAATATACAATTCTATGATTAAATATGAAGTGAAGTGATATTTAACAATAATTAGTATGATGTTTCTATTATTAATCCAATAATTTAAGTTATATTTCTTTTGATTTCAATTTCATAACTAAAAATATAATATGATATAGTACACACGCAGATTTCCAGTCGTTAAAAATAAGAAGGTTTCAAAATATTTTCAAACTTCCATCATTTTCTTTTAATTTTTTTTATCTAATTTGATTTTAAATTTGAATAAAAATTTTGATTTGATATGAATTACTTTAACTTTTTCATTAAATTTTTATCAATTTTTAAAAGAACTTTCAATCTTATGCCATTTGTTTTTTCTTTTCGCCAATTTTGATGGAAAAAAACAACAATTCAATTAATTGGAATTATAGCGAAATAACATGTTGAAATAGTCAAAGTTTGACTATGTGGTTAGTTGAAATGTATAATTTAATTAAATTTTTTTTTTTTATCATATTTGTATATAAATTGATACATATAACTACATCATTATAAGTTGGATTATGAAAAAAAATTTGAGGTGTCAAACATTTTTCATTTGTAAATATCCTACATATTAAAATAAGAAAAAAATGTATAGCTTTTAGATATGTGTTTATTAGTTTTGTTTTATGGATATGAGCAATTGATGTTTCAATTTAAAAAATTAAAAAGTAAAAAAAAAAAAAAATAGATTGGGTTTTTTAGAGATAAAAGAAACCATCTAACTCTTCTATATATTATTTAAGGTGGACTATTTTAATCACATAAAAAAAATAGAAATCATATTTAGAGATTATGTTATAGCGATCCTGGTTCTTCCTTCTTTGATTGTTGTATCCAGACTTAGGTTCCGTGGAGTTGGTTGTTGTATATGTCGTGTTGTTATCCTTTAATTCCATATATTTGAGTTTTAGGATGTCTTGGGCATGTTTCAAACAGGTTGGTTGAGCTTTAGTCCCATTCCTTGTTGCCCAGATTTTTGGTGGTCCACTCAAGCGGGTCCCATTGCGCTCGAGCGGAGTTTACACACTTTCAGCATTTTGTGCCTCTACAAAACTATTGCAGGTGCGTTTTTCACGCTTGAGTGGATTTCCTTACGCTCGAGCGTCTCGCGCTCGAGCGGACCTCTTGGTGCTCGAGCGGGTGTTCATTGTCTGTAAAAGAAAAGTACTGGGCGAGTGTAATCTATGCTCGAGCAGGTTCCTCCTTGCGCTCGAGTGGGTATATTTTTTTTTTGTGTCTTGGCGCTCGAGCGTGTCTTTTTGCGCTCGAGCGGGTCCAGTTTCTTGTGTTTGACGCTCGAGCGTCCTATTCTCCGCTCGAGGGGGATAGTCGTATATCAGTTGGCAGCTAGGTGATTTTGAATCACTTTTCACATTTCCTTTCTCTCTCTTACTTTTCTAAGCCCTCTTTTGAGAGCTCCTCTCTCTAGAATATACCTTCTCTCTAGGGATTGATCTAGCTTGAGCGATCTACTCCCTTAGTGTCTTTGCAAAGAGTGTAGAGCTTGACTTGGGCTTCCTATCAATCCGAAAATCTTGTGTTTTGGAGCATTTGGAGATTTCTTCATCATCTCCTTCGAGTTTCATCTCTTGAGGTAGGGATTCTTACTCATCTTTATGAGCTTTGACCTAAATGTTGGGTTTTATGTATAAATGGTTTGATTTGGGAAATTAGGGTTTGTGATGTGTTACATTGGAAAAAGGGGTTTTTGTTCTTTTGATTCAAACATATGTGTTTTGGGTCTAAAAAGGAGGCTATTAATGTTGTTGATAATATTTGGACCTTTGGGTCAATATTGAGAAAAGGGGAGAAAATGTCATATTTGGATATATTTGGATCATTAGTGTAATTAATGACATTTATTATCGGAATATGAAATTGAATTGGAAATAATGTAATTGACTCATTATGAGATAGAATGGTGGAGTTGAAATTATTAATCACTCACCTTGGAAATTGTTGATAATTTATCTGTTGGATGTAATTATTATTTGTTTAGAAATAATTGCTTTGGGCTATCGATGGAGGATAGTCTTGATTGTTTAAACATTGCATATGATATGTGAATTTAAAACTAATCCAATTAATATGTTCAGTTGATCATGACGGTGAGAATATCAATCCAAATTTATATTGATTGATTCATGGTATAATGATATGTGTTTATATACATTGTGTTTGTGTGGAGAGATAGGGGATGGACTCCATTGATACAGCAAATATGTGTATCTATTGAAGTATTGATACAGCGAATATGTGTATCTATTGTGAAGTATGGAAGTGTTTGTGTGATATTGATACAGCGAATTTGTGTATCTATTGTGACGTATGGAAGTATTGTTGATATGAGCTATAGTCTCATTAAATTATTGGCCAGGTTCTGAGCCTTATTCATAAATTGAGAACTAGATAAGAAATGGAAAATGGAATGAAACATGGACAGATTTGTCATGTAATTGAAATGAGTTATGAATTGATTCATGTGAGTTAAACATTTATCAAATGCTCATGTTTTAGTTATTGCTCATATTATGTTTAACATATCTCTACTGG